CATATATGTGTATTTTAAGTTACTTAACAGATGAATATTATGTAGATGAATTTTCTCCTTAATTAAATTTCAGTCGATCTTCGAACAATCATCAGCGTATTATCAATTTTCCAGTAGGTGGTATGGATGTAAAAATTAACACACAAAATGTTGCAATTGTAAGCGATGATCATTTGAAACAGCAATACCAACGAGTAAATTTATTAATTATTTTAAACTTCCACAAACTTATTTTTATCAAAAATTTTGCAATTCATGCAAACAATCGAAAAGATCAATTAGCTTTGCTAGATAATTTCAATTTGTAATCTTATTACTAGCAAATATTAGATGCATCTTAAATATATTTTTAAAAATTTTAACTTTCGCAAATTTTTTACCAAAAATTTTACAATTCTCATACAAATAGTGTAAATGATCAATTAGTTTTGCTAGATAATTTCAATTTGTAATGCTATTAATAGCAAATATTGGATATATCTTAAAATTTAAATATATTTAAAAAGAATTTAAATATAGCTGAAGATATGAAAAAACGAAATATCTGTTTTCTTTCATTATCTATAAAAAAACAAATCAGACAAATGATCTTATAGAAGTGAAATTAATTATAAATTTAATTAAATTGAATACCACAAAAAAAAATCATTCATATGATAGTTTTATCATTTCATTATTCAAAAAATCATTCATACGATAAGAAAACAAAATCATACACAATAAATTTCAGTTGAAACAATAACTTTAACGAATAAATTTACAAAAAATTTTGAATTTTTAAAAAATTTGTCTTTCAGGAATTGAAAGAACGACAACAAAAGGTGACGAAAAATATCTCAAAAACACCATTAACAACCAAATCATCGATTGTATTCGAGAAAGCAACGACAACCACACCTGTGAGCATATATAGTAATGCTATTAATGGTGCAGAAAGATTATTCCATCAGTCAAATCGTAGTAGCATTCCTGAAATAACCGCTAACGAATTCCAGGAAATCGCAAGGCAGACAACCAATCGGGTACGCATTGAATCAGAGGTGCTTCATTCTTTGAACATTTTTAAAATTCTTAGAAATTCTTGCCAATCTAATCGTTTGCTTATATTCATTAAACGAATTCCGATTTTTTTTTAATTACTGCAAATTTTTTAAAAAAGAAAAATGAAAAAAAAAAACGAAATAACTATGTATATTCTTTACTCTTACTGTTACTTTAGAAGTATGTTTGTTTTTATATTTTTGAATTAGATTAAAAATTTGCATAAATTTAGGAATCGATAGAAGAATTAATGGAGGATATACGGGAAGTGGTAAAACTTGAACAAAGGATACAAAAAATTCTTCGATCTGATGTAATCATCGTTGAATCACAGGTCAATTTCGTACTTCTCTATGAAAACTTTACAAATGGAAAATGCTTTTTAAATACAAAAATCAAATTTGAAAAAATTCCCAGGAAAAAAAGAAAATTGATTTAGAATGTTTTTTGAGAAGTATATGAATTTTTTTTTTGATCACGCGCATATTTAATTAAACTTTTCAGGTTATAAATGTTCGCGATTTAGAGGTAATGAACGATCCGAATTTGCAAGAAAAATGGTGCAAAAAATGAATGTAATCTTAAATTAGGAAAGACTATTAAAAATTATTTAAAAATTTATCAATTATTTTGATTATGTTGAATGTTACGAAATTTGTTGAGATTTCAAAAAGATAAATCTAAACTCTCTCAATCATCTGCTTTTTTTTTTGTTTTTCGCTTTTTCCTCCAATTAATTTACTGTGTAAACCACCTTCATCTATTAGGATAAAATATGAACGAATGAGAATAAATTAAATGAAGCAGAAAAAATTTCAATTTCTAGTTTTTAAAAGGAAACAATTTTTTTAATGGGATCAACAATTTTTCAAAACTTTTAAAATGCCCTCATTTTTATCTTGTTTTGTTCGTTTTTGTGCAACAGAAAGAACAGCGTTACGAGTCAAATTTGAACTTAAAAAAGAAAAAATTCTCATAATTCTCATAAAAAATTCTCATACTTACATTTATTTAAAAAAAAAAAAAAATCCTATCACCTATTTCTCTTTACTGTAGAGAAACCTGATCTACCTCAGATCCAATTTTCTTTTTTTTTTTTTAAAGTAGAACTGATCATATCATCAAAACATCCTTAACTCAGATTTACTTTTGTTATGGTTTCTGCTTCGTGTGAATGATAGGATGTAAACTATAACACATCATGTCGTCTTACTGTATATACAACAATGTTAATTCTTGTATAATCTTTAAAAACAAAAAGGTTTTTTTCTTTGATCCAATTTCTTCGTGATATTAAAAGAGAAAAAAAAAACTCAACTTTGTACGCATTTGGACTGAAAATAAAATTATTGAAAAAAAAAATAATATTAATGCTTAGCAAATATAGCGAATATAGCAATTTTTGGAAATCCACTGCTTTCGTCGAACAGATAGCACAAACTTTAATTTAGAATAAATTACAAGCATATGTTTGAGAAGCTAAAGAAGCATATACAATTTTGTAAACAGACAATATGCAAGTACACAGAGCGTATATGAGGAAATAAAAAGAAATTGGAAACTTATAAAATTTTATATAAACTATAAAGGTATCACAACATTTCAGTAAAGGAGCATTAAATTCAGCAAGTGAAATTTTCCTGAAGAGTGGAAAATTTCCTACTTATGAAATATTGTTAACAAAATCAAATACCTATTATCAGATGAATAAATTTTTTTCCACTGCTTCTTTAAAGTAACGAATTATTGTAAAGTTTGTCTGCCTAAACATCAAGAGCTTTTTTTTTTCTTCCACAATTTATACTTCAGTAGTTTAAATTATGCCGATACACACAATATGAATATAATATAAACTTTGCTTAAAATAAACAAATTATATCACAGTGAGGCAAGCAAGCATTTAAAAGTACTGCATATAACACATGACATAAAAATAGAAATTAGCAAGCTAAAAAAATAAACAACTGATAAGTCACAGCTGGGCAAATTATTGATAATGATCTCAGAATGCGCTTATCAAATATAACTTGTAATTACTTATTCTTAAAATTTGTAATTACTTATTCTTCTTTAATGGCAGGTCTGCATTTTTCACGGTATTTCATCAAAAAAGCTGCAAACCGAAGAGCGAGAAATCAGTACAATGTAATCTGATGTAAAACCTCCTTAAAGATCATATCTTTCACGTATCAAGATTTCTAAAATTCATTCATAGCTAAACTTTGCGCTCACACTCCTACTAATAAATAAAAAATGCTTGTAGCCAAAAAATTGTGAAATACCAGTATACCAACAGAAAAATGAGTTTTTATAACCAAAAAACAACTAAAAAACTTGGAAGTGGAAGCAAATTCAAGAAAGATGACACAGTGAAAAGTTACAATTACATTTCATACTGAATAAAGTATAATTTATACTCATAGAAAAAAAAGAATTTGAAAAAAAAGGAACAAAAACTATTCCTATTTTTACGCGCATTGTTTTTTCTTAATCCACGTACAAATATTTAACAACTTCAACCATTTCACGTTTGACACTATGAACTGTCAGAACATGCTGCAAACCATATATAATTAGGACTAAAGATTTAGTTTAGAATATCACTTTCCACAGTCATCCCTAGTTAAAGAAAAAAAGATCAAAATTAATTTTTCTTTCGTTAGTATTTAAGAAAAGGGAGATTGACTAACTTAAAATAATTTGTCTGACTATAAAGTATAATTAATTAAGATAATATCACAATATCAAATACAAATTTCGACCAATTGCAGAATAAAGTAACGTTGGAAGATTGTTCGAAACTGATTAGGAAAAATTTCGAATCCCCCAACAGAAAATAAAATTTAAAGACAAAAAAGCCAACCAGCAAATAATAATATGACACGATGCAAAGCAAGAGTAATATTTATCTAATTTAAAAGAAGTTCTGAAAATAAAAACAAAATGCCCACAACAACTTGTTCGCCATTCAGCTACAACATTTTCTCTTTTCATGCCGTCTCAGAGTAGAGCCACCCAATCGCACACCACCGCCACTATCACCAATGTTTGATTGAGGAGCTCGAAGTTTTGCTTCTAGTACTAACCGCGTTATGCAGTTGAACATCTGTAAAACTATACCAAGCTAATTCAAAATCTTGACTTCTATTTCTTTCCCAAGAATTGAAGCTAATATAATTAGTAAGAATCAATGGATCCCTATTTGAAAAAAAAAAAAAAACAAACTGACAATAATCTTATTTGTATTCGTCTGACTCTAATGGCTTCTTATTACTCTGATCAAAGCTTCCTGGTTGCAAGTGCTCTATTTTATGAACTGATTTGAACATTTAAAACTAAGTAATTGATCGAACTGTCCGAAACCATTTAAGGAATAATTACACTGCTAGTTCCGATGGGGAAACATCTTAAGGAAATAAGACAAATGTCACTTCTTCAACATTGGTATTTTCTTTAGCGGAAGTTTCGAAGAATGGAATTTTCATTGTTTCGGCAAAACGGCGAGCATCCACTTCTAATACTACCCGTCGTTCCGGATCGTCGGCTTTGTTTCCAACTGAAAGTATGCAAGATAATAAAATAATCACAAGTTTTAATTGAAAATTTATGATTCATATTTCTAGAATTTCCTAACTTCAGTTCAAAAATGTGAATTTTTGCCTCACCGAGAACTTTTTGAACATTTTCACAATTTGTGTCGATTTCATGCAGCCATCTTTTCACGTTACTGAATGAATCACCACTTGTTACTTCATACACAACAATCACACCGTGCGTTCCACGGTAGTAACTGAAAAAGCTAATTCATCTCTCTATTTATTTATTGATGCGGCTTCTTGCAAGTGCTAATACATAAGAAAGTTCCAACTAAACCATTACTAA